ATAAAAAATTAAATAGACCACATACAGATAGATATCCCAGGCATTACTGATCTGAAATTAACCGAACTGAGTCAAACAATTGTATGATTTCCCACACTGAAAATGATTAAATTGAATAGGAACAATATATCACATTAATCGACAAAAAGAACATTTCAAGATCTATCTTGAAGATGCTGTCTGATAAGATAATATTTAAGCTCCAGTTAATACAACTGTTATTCAAATGCACGTACCACTCAATGACAAAGAAATAGAATTTACCAACTTCATTAGTCTGAAATTGATTAAACATGAAATCAAGTTACATTGGTAATTATTGGTGATTGGTCTTCCTGACATGATTGTTGATGACAAAATGGGTGCATAAGCAAATGTGATGAAGAAAGCTGATGGTGCCCAGCTATTAAAAATATAGCATCTGGAGTCTTAAAGGCTTGAAGTTAAACAAGCAGCCATCTACCTGGTAAGCAACAAAGCCCACATGGAAGAAGCACACCAGCTTGTGTGATCATGACGTGTCGACAAGATCAGGTATCAGGCATCAGAAGACCCAAAAGAAACAATTATATCGATGCAAACGCGGTGGGACAGAGCAGAGACCCAAAGCCCATCTGTAGACAATTGGACAGCCCCCACAGATGGACCACAAGGAAGGGACCCGCCTGCCAGGCTGCAGGTACAACACTGATAAAACAAACAACATTCATCTAGTTCTTTAATGCTTCTCTCCCCCTCCACCCCACTATCATGACCCCAGTTCTACTTTACAAATCCACAACACCAGAGCATGTACACTGGTACAGATAAGATCTCTAGACACATGGAATCCAGGACAGATAAACCTCGCAGGAACAATAATAGGAATAGAGATACCATGGGGATAGGGGGAAGGTGGGGGGGCGGGGAAGCAGGAACTGATCAAAATGATTAACATTTAACCTGCCCAATGTAGTCTACGTTGATTTCTTTTTTTTTAAATCATTTTATTGGGGGATCTTACAGTTCTTATTACAATCCATACATATATCCATTTTGTCACACACATCTATACCTATGTTGTCATCTTTTTCAAAACATTTTCTTTCTACTTGAGCCCCTGGCATCAGTTCCTCCTTTTTTCCCCTCCATCCCTCCCCTCCCTCCATGCTTCCTTGATAATTTGTAAATTCTTCTTTTTTTTTCATGTCTTACTCTGACTGCTGTCTCATTTCACCCACTTTTCTGCTATTGGTCCCCCTGGCATGGGGGCCATCCAGGGTGACGGATAGAAACATTGGTGAAGGGAGAGAGCGAGTGGTATAAGATATGAAAATATTAATAATTTATCAAAGGCTCATGAAGGTGGATGGGTGGAAAAATAAGAGGAGCTGATAAAGGTTCAAGTAGAAAGAAAATGTTTTGAAAAGGCTGATGGCAACAGGCACACATGTGTTTGATACAATTGATGTATGGATTGTTAGAAGAGCTGTTAGAACCCCCAATACAATGATTTATTAAAATTAAAAAAATATATTGGTGATTGGAATGTGAGAGTTGGAAACAAAGAGGAAGGACCAGTAGTTGGAGCACATACTTTAGGGATAGAAATGAAAGCTGGAGATCGTATGTTAGCATTTTGCAAGATCAGTGACTCTTAATTGAAAATACTTTAAAAATACATAAATGGTGACTACACATGTGGCCCTTGCCAGATGCAATGCAGAGGATCAGCCTGAGAAGAGAGACTGACTGTGGAACAAACCATCAATTATGCATATGCTAAACAATCTGGAGGAGAAAATAATGGGACCAATGGTTCAGTGGGACTTGGGAGAGAGAGAGGCGGGGGAAAGTAAGTGGCTGTTAACAAACCCAGGGACAAGGGAACAACAAGTGATCTAAAATCAATAGCGAGGAAAGTGTAGGCCTGGTAGGGCGTGATCAAGGGCAATGTAACCAAAAGGGATTACTGAAATCCAAAAGAAGGCTGAACATGACAGTGGGACAAGAAGAAAGTAAAAGGAAATAGAGGAAAGAACTAGGAGGCAAAGGGCATTTATAGAGGTCTAAATACAGGCATGTACATGTGTAAATACATTTATATATGATGACAGTGGGACAAGAAGAAAGTAAAAGGAAATAGAGGAAAGAACTAGGAGGCAAAGGGCATTTATAGAAGTCTAAATACAGGCATGTACATGTGTAAATATATTTATATATGATGATAGGGAAATAAATCTATGTACATTTGTTTATAGGTTTAGAATTAAGGTAGCAGATGGACATTGGGCCTCTACTCAAGTACTCCCTCAATGCAAGAACAATTTGTTCTAGTAACCTGGCATTCCATGATGCTCACCTTCCCAACGCAATTGCTGAAGACAAAGTGGGTGTATAAGCAAATGTGGTGAAGAAAGCTGATGGTGCCCGGAAATCAAAAGATATAGTGTCTGAGGTCTTAAAGGCTTGAAGATAAACAAGTGGTCATCTAGCTGAGAAGCAATAAAGCCTACACAGAAGCACACCAGCCTGTGTAATCATGAGGTGTCAATGGGATCAGGTATCAGGCATAAAAACCCAAACAAAACGAACAAAAAGCATATCAATGGGAATGAGGGGGAGGGAAGAGTGGAGACCCAAAGCCTATCAGTAGTCAATTGGACACCCCCTGCCAGAAGGGCCACAAGGAGGGGAGAAGCAGTCAGGGTGCAGTATAGCACCGATGAAACACACAACCTTCCTCTGGTTCTTTAATGCTTCCCATCTCCCACTCCCCTACTCCCATAACCCCAACTCTATCTTACAAATCTGGCTAGACTAGAACATGTATACTAGTACTAACAAGCGCTCGCAACACAGGGAATCCAGAACAGATAAACCCCTCAGGACCAATAAGGAGAGCAGGTTGGGTAAGGGTAAGGGGAAGGGTTGGGTTGGGGAGGAGTAAGGAGGAAGCAATAACAATGATCAATGTATGGCCCCCATGCCAGGGGGACCAATAGCAGAAAAGTGGGTGAAATGAGACAGCAGTCAGAGTAAGACATGAAAAAAAAAAAAGATTATAAATTATCAAGGGTTCATGAGAGAGGGAGGAAATAAGCTGATACCAGGGGCTCAAGTAGAAAGAAAATGTTTTGAAAAAGATGATGACAACATAGGTATAGATGTGTGTGACAAAATGGATATATGTATGGATTGTAATAAGAACTGTAAGATCCCCCAATAAAATGATTAAAAAAAAAAAGAAATCAACGTAGACTACATTGGGCAAATATGTTGCAAAAGGCTTCTTTAAAGCATTAAAGAGGTACTCCTGACCAAAGGCATGGTGTTTTCAATGGCCTCAGATGCAAGTGAGTGATGTGAAAGCTGCACGATGCATAAGGAAGACCACAGACACACCAAGGCACATGGATTAGGGTGCTAGTGAAGTACATTAAAAGTTTGGACTGTCAGAAGAACTAACAAATGTGTCTTGGAAGATACACAGCCAGATTGTCCAGCAAGACTTCACTTCATGAATTTGAGACATCTTTATCAGGAGAGACCAAAACCAAAAAGCAGTTTGATAATTCATTCACCCAATGAAGGACTTAGGTTAGGTCTATATTTTTGGTATTGTGAATAATGCTATGATGAAGATAAGCATACATACAACTATTAGTATCACAGTCTTATGTCTCTAGGATCTATAGCTAGCAATGTGGTTGCTGGATTATATGGTATTTCTATAGTTAGCTTCTTAAGAAAACACCATGCTGTTTTTCACAGTGGTTGTGCCATTTTGCAGTTCCACCAACAGTGTGTAAGAGTTGCCATCTCCCCATAGTCTTGTAACATTTGTTGTTCTCTGCTGCTTTGTTTTTTAATCAATATTTTTATTGCCTATGTGAGATGATATCTCATCACAGTTTTGATTTGCATCTCTCTGTGGCCCTAAAGTCTTAAGTCACAACATTTCTCATCAGGATGATTAATCTTTATGAAAAGGCAGGAAAGCAAGAGAGAGCCACCCACTCAACATTTTCATTCTTGGAAAAAAGAAAAAAGAAAGCCACTACACTACAGTTCATGAACTATAGCATCATTTGTGAAAATATATCATGCAATTCATTAACAGTACACTTTGATTCTTAAGATTAACAAGATCTTTATCTTTCTTATTCATTGCATTGAGAAAAATGTCGTGACATTAAAAGGTAGTTCTAACATAGTTTTACTTAGAAATCTGATAAACCATGTCCCAGGAATCTGACAATTAGTGATAACATGGTTAACTTCATTCCCCCCCACCCACATTTTTGCTTACTTTACAAAACTAGAAACAATAAAACTATAACACAAGCTTATACTGCCCCCTGAAATAACCAACATCCTATTTATTTCAAAAGATTTTTTAAATCCAACCTTGCTATTACCATAGAGAGCAGGTATTTGTTTAGGTCAAGTATTACGGGTTCTATAGCTATTTCAAGCCACTTCAATGTGTATACATGTGTGCATACCAGAAGTAAAGCAAAACCATCATCGTGGTCATACAAAAAGGCAGAGAAGTGTGAATGAGCAGGTAAAGGGAAGAGGTTTTCTGTAGACTCCAAAAGTGTGCAGCTGGCTGTGTCTAAAGCTACAACCCAAAGGCGTCATATCAGATGATTCTTAAAAGATTTGGGTGTGATGCTTTTTTCTCCTTATTTACTTCCCTTTTTGACAGCTTAGGTGGGGGCTAAAAAAGTTTGAGTATTGTGAAAAATTTGCCAAAGAGATAAAAAGAAAGAATTCAAAGAGTAAGTCAAAGTGACTTATGAGAAGGGAAGTTATTCTTCAAAGACAATGTGAAGTGAAGGTGGGAACTCGGGTGTGTGGAGGGGTGTGGCTACTTGGGTGTGTGGAGGGGTGTGGCTACTTGGGTGTGTGGAAGGGTGTGGCTAATTGAAAAGCAAAAGAGGACACAGAAGGAAAAGCCTGGAAACTAAGTCGGCAAAACAACCAACTGGCCCATTAAACATTCATTTACTTACCTGTGTTATTTTTTCTATTCCCTGGAAGCTGTGCTTTTCAAATTGTTCTGTTATATTTAAGAAGGTGTGACGTTCTAGATAGCAGCAGTTACTCAGGACTATTAAAAGCCGTTGTTCCTAGAAGCAAAACAAATACTGAGAAAATTGCACAAGTTGAATACATAGCAAACAACACTACGACTTATTGAATTTAATATTACATCTTGCTATTTAATTGACAGTCAATGTTTGTATTCTTGAATGCTTCTTTTCCAATAGTACCATAGGGAGAAACATAATAAAATTCTACAATTCTTCTAATTGTTCTCCATTACATACTAAACCTAAGGGCCAAATAAATGATTGCGTTGAAATCTAACAGCTGCATGGAAAACAGAGTGGTAGAGTTAACCAGCTGTTCTTACAAAATGATTTAACTTTATTTAATACTCATTCAAACCAAAAGATTTATTATTTTTAAATAATTAATTTTATAGAACATGGAAGAATAATTCTTAAATGGTTTGAGTTTTTTGTAATTGGATACTATTCTCAAAAAACAAATGCACCACACATTGCTTCAACTCATTGCAACCGAAGCGGGCAGAGCAGACCTGCCCATCGGGTTTCCAAGGCTGCCATCCTTGTGGAAGCAGAGGGCCACATCCTCTTCTCAAGGAGTGATTGCTCAATTCAAACTGCTGAACTTTCAGTTAGCAGCCTGAGTGCTTAAGTACTGGGCCAGTGCACCAAAACCAAACTCTCTGCCTCTGAGTCGATGCCAACTCAGAGTGATACCCACCCCTCCCCCAGTACATTTCCAAGACCGTAGCTAACTGTTTACAGGAATAGAGAGCCCCATCTTTATCCCACAGGTGGCTGGTAGTTTCAAACTGCAGACCATGTGGATTTCAGGCCAATGTGTACCTTCTACACCACGAGGGCTCCTCATTTTTTTGGTCTCCTTGAAAATACTTATGTCTTTTAAAAAATTTTAAATATACATACAGAGAAAGAAATATCCAGTGACATATTCAGTATCAGTGATGGAGAAGTATTTAAGAATCCGGTTTTCTCTTATATTCACCAGAGTTCTATTCACTTAAAAGAATCTTAGCAAAATAACCCAGAATGCTGATGAACAAAACATACAGTTGCAAAAAACTATTTTTTAACAAAGTTTACAGAATATAGTTTGGGACTGCTATTGAGTCAGCCCTACATGTTCTAAAATTTGGCCCCATTCTCCAGAATCATTCTGATTAATTTAGTGCCGTGAGTCAAGATTCCTTGACTAAAAACAAAGGTAAAAACCATTTCCAAGAAAACTTCTTACCCACATTTTGCTTACATACAATATATAATCAGAATAACTTCAATGTAATATAATATAGTAATAAATAAGTTTCTGTCCTTTGAACATATATCTTCCAATAATTTATTTAGCACAATTAAATTTTTTTAAAACTATACTTATTTTAAATTCTCCTATCTTTAGTACATTGTAGCTTATATACACTCACAGCCCTTGAGTCAATACTGACTCTTAGGGATCCTATAGGATAAGGCAGAACTGCCCCTGAGAGTTTCCAAGACTGTAACTATTTATGGAAGTAGAAAGCCCACCTTTCTCCCGCAGCCTATATACAATGTCCCTTATGGTCATGAGTAAGTACATTAAAAAGGCTGAGAACTTGTGGTATCTTCAAATGAAAGGTTGTTCTTAGCCCTGAATTAATCTATGGATGTGCAAAAGGAATATTATACATAGCGTAGCCCTACCTTTCTGTTACAGTGCCGCTGAGTCAGTTGTGACTCATGGTCACCCAATGTACAACAGAAGGAAATACCAACTGGTCCTGTGCCATCCTCACACTGTTCTTAGTCTGAGCCCACTGGTGTAGCCATGGTGTCAATCCATCTTGTCAAGGTGTCTTCCTCTTTTTTGATGTCCCTTAACTTTACCAAGCATGATTTCCAATTGCAGCATCTGGTCTCTCTTGATAACATGTCCAAAGTAATTGAGACAAACTCTATGTTTCCTTCCAAGGAGCATGCTGGCTATCCTTTTCCCCCGGCAAATTTATGTGTTCTTTTGGCAGTCATGGTACTTTTCACTATTTTTCGCCAGCACTACAATTCAAATGCATTGATTCTTCTTTGGTCTTCCTTATTCAGTGCAGATTTCACATGCATGAGGCAAATTAAAATACCTTGGCTTGAGTCAGAAGCGCTCAAAGTGACATCCTTGCTTTCTAACTCTTTAAAGAAGTCTTTTGCAATAGATTTACCCAATGCAATGTATCATTTGATTGTATCATTTGATTTCTTCACTACTGCATCCATGAGCACTGATTGTGGATTCAAGCTAGATGAAACGTTCAATCTTTTCTGTTTATCATGATGCTACCTACTGGTCCGATTGTGAGGGTTTTGGTCTTCTTTACTGTAAGTTGTAATCCATACTGAAGTCCTATTCTTCTCGAGGCTAACCAAAGTGTGTTATGAGCCACACAACTGAATGCCTTTGTATAGTTAATGGAACACAGACAAGCATCTTTCTTGTATTTTCTGCTGTAAGCAAAGATCCAATTCACATTAGCCACAAAATCCCTGATTCCACACCCTCTCCTGAATGTGGCCTGGATTCTGGCAGCTCCCTGTTAATGTACTGCTGCAACCCTTCATGGATGATCTCCAGCAACACTGTATCTGCATGTGATATTAATGAGATTGCTTAGTAATTTCCATGTTCTGTTAGGCTCCATTTCTTTGGAATGGGTACAAAAGCATACCTCATCTAGTCAGTTGGCCAAGCAACTGTCTTCTAAATTTCTTGGCATAGATGGGTAAATGTTCTCAGTACTTTATCAACTTGCTGAACTGTTTTAATTGGGATTGCATCAATTCCTAGAGCCTTGTGTTTAGCTTATGCTTTCACACTTCTTCCTTCAGTATTACTGGTTCTTGATCAGATGCTACCTCTTCAAATAGTTGAATGTTGACTCTTTTTTTTCCTTCCATCTTCTTTGGATGCTTCCTGCATTAGTTAATATTTTGCCCATAGAATCTTTCAATATTGCAACTCGAGGTTTGAGTTTTTACTTCAGTTCTTTCAGTTTCGGATACTAGTGTATTCATTCTTTTGATTTTGTAACTCTGGGTCTCTGCACATTTCATTGTAGTAGTATTTTGTTTTGTCTTATTGAGTTCTTGAAGTTTTCTGTTCAGCTTTTTTGCTTAGCATTTTTTCCATTTTCCTTAGCTATTCTACAATTAAAAGCAAGTTTCAGAGTCTCTTTTGATATCTTTCTTCTCTTTCTTTTTAATGATCTTTTGCTTTCTTCATGTATAATGTTCTTGATGTCATGCCCAGCTCATCAAGTCTTTTGTCATTAGTGTTCAATGCATTAAAATTGCTTGTTAAGTGTTCCCAAAATTCAGGGAGGGTCATATTTTGGCTCTCGTGGACTTGTTTTAATTTTCTTCAGCTCCAACGTGAAATTACGTATGAGCAATTGATAGTCTGTTCACAGTCGGTGCCGGGCTTCATTGTAGCTGATGATACTAAACTTCTTCTTCATCGCTTCCCACAGATAGTCATCTGGAGGAATCCATGGGTATGCTCATCTTTTTGTGATGAAGAAGTTGATCTTGTAAAATTCTATCATGTAGTATCCAGCTTCATTTTTGATCAACAAGGTCATATTTTCCAACTACTGTTTCTTCCTCTTTGTTTCCAATTTTGCATTCTAACTGCCAATATTATCAATGGAATATATGTAAAAGTACTCTTCCTTAAAAAATATTCATGAAATATAAAATAGTACTAGCATATAGAGTAGTATGCTACAATTGTGTGATAATTGGTTTTGTGTCAACTTGGCTGGGCCAGGATTCTCAGTCTGGCAGTTGAAGCCTCCCCCTTGATGTGATCTAATACAATGTAATTAACACCATAATGAGATCTGCTGTGAGCAGCCAAGCAGGTGTGAAAAGTTTAGAGTGGATTCCTACTTCTTAAGCAGGTTATAGACTTGATGCAATTGGAAGTTTCACCAGCAGTTGTAGCCTACTCCTATATAACTTAATGCTGTTCCAACGGAAGCTAGCTCTTACTTCTTGCTGGTCCTGATTCTATGTCTGGCTCACACTTGCCATATTGCCTCCTGACCCTATGAGTTATCAGAGGCCTGTCTGCCTGCTTACCTGCCTGGCAACCCTGGATTCATTTGACTCTGCAGTCACAAGCCTGGCTTGCTTCCTTCTTCCTAGTAATTCAGCACTGACAGCTACTTGAGTCAGGAAGAGTCGCAAATCTGACTCGCTGAGCATGCACTCATCCAATTTTGCCTCCACCAGCTTATCGTCTTCCTGACTCCTGCTTTATCTACTAGCTTTCTGGCTCATCAGGTCTGGATGCTAGTCAGAAAACATCTCCAGCTTAACATATGACCCATGGACTTGCACCAGACTGGATTCAACTGCTTCTACAAGTGTATGAGACAAGTGTATACAATTATTTACACACACACACACACACACACTCACAATACAGTTAGCCTTGAGAAAACTGAAAATTCCAGAATACTTCGTTGTTTTCGTGCAGAACCTGGATCAATATGGATCAAGAAGCAGTTGTATAACAGAAAAAGGGGATACTGCATGCTTTAAAAATAAAAAAGGTGTACTTCTGGGTTTATCCTCTCACTCTAGTTATTTAATCTGTATGCTAGGCAAATAATCAAAGAAGCTGGATTATATAAAGAAGAATGTGGCATCAGGATTGAAGGAAGGCTTATTAACAAGCCTCAATCTGCAGATGGCACAACCTTGCTTACTGTGAGGGCTTGAAGCACGTGCTGATGTGGTCAAGGATTACAGCCTTCAGTATGGATTACAACTCAGTTTAAAGACAAGCTAAACCTTCATAATTGGACCAATTGGTAACAGCATGATAAATGGAGAAAAATTTGAAGTTCTGTCTTGCTTGACTCACAATCAGCACTCATGAAAGCAGCAGTCAAGATCAAAAGACGAGTTGCATTAGGTAAGATTGCTGCACAAGACCTCTTTAGAGTATTGAAAAACATTAGTTTTAGGACCAAGGTGCACCTGACTTTAGCAATGGTATTTTTCAATTGCCTCATATTCATGTGAAAGTGAATAAGGAAGATTGAAGAACTGATGCATTTGAATTGTGGTGCTTGAGAAGAATTTTTTTTCTTCCAGATACCAGTTATTTTGTTTCTTCTGACTTAGCCACATCTACATTTCCCAGTTAGTGAACCAACTGCACAAGTTCCTAAAGCCAATTCGCTTGAGAAGAATGTTGAAAGTACCGTGGATGGCTAAAAGGAGAAACCAACCTGTACTGGAAGAAGTAAGGCCAGAGTGCTTGTTAGAGGCAAGGATCATGAGACTTTGCCTCACGTACTTTGGAGCAGTCCATGGACAAGGACATAATGCTTGGGAGAGTGGAAGAGCAGCCAACAAGAGGAAGTCCCTCAATGAGATGGACTGACAGAGTGGTTGTCACTGTGGGCTCAAACATACGAATACTGGTGAGAATGGTGCAGGACTGGGCAGTGTTTCGTTCCGTTGTGCGCAGGGTTGTTATGGGTGAGAACCAACTTGATGGCACCTAACAACAATAACAACGATATATATGGTATTGTTTTTGCTTCTCTAGAGAACTTAGCTTAGCACAGGTTGTAATTCATTTATATTCAAAATAATTTAGACCAACTTATATAAACAAGCAGTACACAGTTTTAAACATTTATGGTTTTACTTACAGGGGTTAAACTGAAGTCTTCATGGATACTCCCAAACAAATCAGGAGATGAAACATCACCAGAAAGACTACAGGTAAAAGTAAATAAGAACAGACAAATTAAAGCATTAAAATTTTAAACATGTAATGACTCATGTGTAATATATATGTATAATTTTACTGGGGGTGCTCACAGTTCTTATAACAATCCATACACCCATTGTGTCAAGCACATTTGTACATATGTTGCTATCATCTTCTTCAAAACATTTTTTCTACTTAGCCCTTGGGCCTTTTAAATCTTGTGGTAAAAAATAAAATCACAGAATTTCCTTCTAACTTTTCTTTTTTTTTTTGTGATACGTTTTTTTATTTTTAACATTATTTATGGTGTTTTATAAAATCTGGTGTTTTTATTTTTTTATTTTATTTTTTTAATTAATCAATTTATTGGGGCTCATACAATTTATCACAATACATAGATC